CCCCAAAACCCCAAAACCCCAAAACCCCAAAACCCCTTTATGATCTCCAATTTTTGAAATTGTTAGAGATTCCAAACTCTATTTAGCTCAAACTTAGTTGTCTGCTTAAAAGTTAGAAAGCTTCAACTACTTTAGGTACCTTGATCTCTTTAATTTTTGATGTACCCTCTGACTGTGTGCAAAAAAATTACAGATGATATAATGATGACTAAGATCTGTAGGATAGTTAGCCACATGATTCTGCCATCTAACTTCTTGACATAATCATTGCCAAGGTCTTCCTTGATTCTATCATACTCTTGCTCACGAAGGATGTTCCCAGTGTGGGTAATCAAGCTTAGTATGTCTTCTCTGGATGCTAACAGCTGTTCTCTGTTTAAAGCCTGGGACAACTTCTCGTCAACTATGGGAATAGATTAGAAAGGTAAGATTTTAGGAAAACAAGGTATTTTTGAAAATTCTTAGGAAATCCAACTATTTCCTAGTCGGATTTTATGTAAAGTTCTTGGTTTAAATACCCTTTAGCTCGTCAATGATGGAGACCTGAATTTTGACATATCCTTCAGGCAAGAAGTTCATGTATTTGCTAAAGAAGTTGTAAGTCGGCTCGATTCAAATTTTCTTCACTCCTGGCTTGCTGGAATGCACCTTATGAGACATCATGTCAGTAGAGGTAATGACTAGCTTGCTTGCTTCACGTCTAGAGTTTAGATAGGAAATTATACGGATTATTAGCATCGTAGATGGTTGACACCAAGCCCTCTTGTGAGTCGTACAATGTTATCTCGTTTAGGATATCGTAGTGCGCCATCACAATTACATTTGCAGGGGAATCATGCTAAGTTTCAGAGCAAAATCTTACGTTGAATCACTTCTTTTCCCCTTGTTTTAGGTGTATATAAACACCTTCGACTTGGATAATACAAATGAGGAGTGTCATTGCAAGTATCAACCTGAGGGTAGGCATATTTAAAGAATTCATGCCAAACTAAATCATTAATATATCCAAACAAATTCAGATGATTTTCCTCACGGAAATTTGAGGATCTATATAATATAAACCCCAAGTAAAGATACAACAATCCAAATATACCAAAAAAATTAGAACAGAATTTATAGAAAGAGAGTAAGCATCAAACCTCTATTAAAAATGTTCAGACAAATTTCTTACCATATTTTTTTAATTTATTACTAATCTCAATCTCTAAACCCAAATATGGGGTTTTGGGGTTTTGGGGTTTTGGGGTTTTGGGG